AACTGTAGTACGCGGAGTAGCTGGGGAGCTGGAAGCTCAGAACTGGTTGGCAAAGCCAGCACGCTGGCTGCCATCATAGTTGAAGTGGGTATGAGCCAGCACGCTGGCTACCATCATAGTTGAAGTGGGTAAGCCAGCGCGCTGGCTGCCATTGTTGAGATGGCAAAGCCAGCACGCTGGCTGCCATCATAGTTGAAGTGGGTAAGCCAGCACGCTGGCTGCCATTGTCCCCTTACCAGCAGCCCAAATGCTCACGACGATGAGCTGGGCTGTCACCGCTTGGCCGCCGGTGGGGGGTTTGGGAGGCCGCATCACACACAGACACCCACACACTCCCTCAACTTACACGAACACACACATACGCAGACTCATTTCCACACGGACATAGACACACGCACAGAAGCCCACACACTACCTCAATTCACTCGACTTCACACTTCTCACTGCACACTTACCGGATAACTCGCACTCTGACTTCCTACGTGATGAAAAATGCTTTCGGGCCACTCGTCGTCTAGTTTTTTAGTCGATCGAGCCTCGAACGATGCGCTGGCGTTTTTTAGCGCCTCGTTTTTCTGGGTTTTGTGGATCAATGTGATGGCCGGTTCTTGGAAGCAGATGAAAGCAGAATAGGGCGCTTCAATAAAATTTCTCAAAGAGCATCACAAAACATCCAAGACTAAGAGGAATCCGATTGGAGCAACCTGCATATCTTGCAAGTGAACCCGGCTACACCAAAATCATGGAAGATCTGGTAGAGATTATTTGGCCGTAAGTAAGTTCAATGAGTTGCTGTGGAGGTTTTGGAGACTGTTCCGGGTGCGACTGTGGACTACGTCAGGTGTGTTTTTCCCTGTCCTAGACACGGTTGACCGAGCCATGTGGAGCCATGGACGTGGCAGAGTCGGCCAGCCTAGCTGGAGTCGGGATGAATCTTTGGAGATCCGATGCGGGAAGGCCGTGTGAAGCAGTCCTTGGACACTCGGATGGAAGAAACTGCTGGAGCTGAGCAGGGCAGCACCCTCCAGGAAGCTGAACATGACCTTGGGGAAGACCTAGGCTTTTGGGAGGCCATGTTTCAGTTCAATCGTTTCAGAAGGAGTTAAATTGTGTTGAGAGATGAAGGAAGTTCGGAAGCAGTTGCGGTTTGGATGCTTTGGACCTTTGTTTCCGCTTTTGTCGGAGCGGACCTGGGAGGGAGATCAGCTTCTATATATATATATATAATATAGGGTGTAGCCTGTGAAACATGTCATGTCCGAGACATGTCCACCAGATCGAAGGTCGGAGGACTCAGGACTCACGCCACCTGCCATAAAGGCTCGAGGCGGGACGGGATCGGGAGCCTGTGTCTTGGAGGAAAAGGCACGAGCCATAGCGGCGAGGCGGCTGCTGGTGGACCTTGGGAAGGTCCTGGAGGTTGCGTTGTGTCCCTTGACAGGGTCATTGGTTGTTGCATCTTTCATAGAAGCAGGGCTTCTTTCTTGGAACGATGTTCCTTTCTTGGTGAGGGTCCGCTACCAATTTTCACATTGGTAGCGGAGCCCAGTGCTCCTAAGAGTGGGATCCAGGGCTACATTGCACTTCAACTCCGTTGTGTGGACTTGCTTGTGAACGGACTTCCGGACGTGTCTCGATCTTGCAACGCCCGAATCACCGGACACGACGTGCAGCGTTTAATCTTGCAGACCGCCACTTGTCTTGATAGGTTGACCTTTTACATTGAGCATTGTGGGACATTGCTTGGTGTTGTGATTTTGACATTGAACCGTTGACAAATCTTGACATTGTACAAGTCGAGCATTGTACATTGTGGTTGACTGCAGGTTGGACATTGGTCGATTGCGTGCTGAGTTGACTTGACATTGAGCATTGCAGGGCATTGCATTTTTGTTGAGTTGGGTTGATTCAGCATGCCTCCTCCGGCCGATGCTTCACACATCCCTGTTCCAGAAGAGGCCACGAGCAGTGTTGCGGGAACAACATCCCTGCCGTGGTCTAGTATCCCAAAGTTCATTCCTGGAACGACCAACGTCCAGGAATATACTCAGAAGATGAAAATCATCGCCAACATTTGGCCAACTGAGCATTTAGAAGCTCTTGCTCCACGTGCCGCCCTGATGGTCGAAGGGGCGGCTTTCCACAAGGTCATGAGGATTCCTGCTGAGAAACTCAAGGTCAAGACGGTCGATGGCGTGATCGCTTTGGTCGAGGCTCGTGGAGGGTCATGGGGAATGACCATGCTGGAGGAGCAATACGATGCTTTTGAACGTGCTCTGTATGGCACCTTGCAGAAGAGCGACGAGTCACATGACTCGTACCTCGCTCGAAGCGAGGTACACTTTGAAGACTTGTTGGCCCGCGGAACGACCTTGGAAGAGATCCGAGCGTATGTTCTCCTTCGACAGTCGACATTGTCTCCGGAGGATCGCAAGAAGATCGTGCTCGACCAGGGCGGACAGCTCAAGTACACTGAGGTCACCAAGGCATTTCGCCTTTTGGGCAGCCGATTCTTTCAGGATCTTCAAGGCTCCAAGGTCACAAAGACCAAAGTTTACGATGCTCACCTGACCGAATGTGACAGCGAACCGGCCTTTGCTGCCTCTCAAGAGTTGGAATCCGGGGTATCGCATCCGGCGTCTTCGACGGAAGCACTCACATTCTTGACTGCGTTGGACGATCCAGATCTTGAAGGAGAGTTTATTGAAGCCATGATCGCCCAGAACGATGAGGACGCACAAGCAGTACAACAGTTTGAACATGAACTGGAAGAGTTTCTGCAGGACACCCCTACAATGCATGAAGCATTGGTGACATACATGGATGCGAGATCACGACTTCAAGACAAACGGAAGACCCGAGGATTCTGGCCAGTTCAGAGCTCCTTTTCACATGCCTCCAAAGGAGGCAAGAAAGGCAAATCTGGCAAGGGAGGTGGAAAGGGCAAGAGGCGTGAGCAGCTTCTTGCTCGGATTGCTCGTTCACATTGCAGGGCATGTGGTGAGAAAGGGCATTGGCGTGCTGAGTGTCCAAACAAGATCATCTCAGTCACGCGAAAGCGCAAATCTGGCCGAAGCTCCATTGACTGGAGATCTCCAGACCATCCCCGAGAGTGATGGTGTGCTGGATGACGACATCCTGGAGGTCTTCTCAGATGATTCTCAGGCCAGTCATGTATCAACCATGGGGCTATCGGTAATTGGAAGGGGTAGTATAGCTTTTGAGGGTAATAATCCCGGGGATTATGCAACAGCTTTCGTTCTTCAATGCCCTGAGCCCAATCGAATCCGACTTTCCAACAGCATGCAGGCATTTTGCCAGCGTTTTCGTAGTAAGGAATATACTCACCAAGAGAAC